CCACCAAGGATTATCCAGAAACCCTCAAGCAGTTGGAGGATCTGGCTACACGTGTCGATCTTCGCCTTTGGGAGAGAAGCCAGCCGAGAGGAACAAAACCTGTGAGAACTACTCGGTCTTGGGGTGAGTCTTAAATGACCACAGTCAACACTCCCTGCAACCCTCCACCTAACCTCCCACTACCAGAAGAACCAATGCAGCTTGGGAGAAGTCGTCTTTCCCCAGAGGAAAGCGAGAAGGAGGAAGCTGCACCTATGTTTTTATCGTGGTGAGGAAGGACACACTGTTAAGTGCCTGTTAAAAGACCAGACTCTAGGTAGGAGGATATTCCTACTGAGTCAGACCAAAGCACCATAGATCTCCTCTTCGTTCCTGCCAAGATCCAAGTGTCGGGTAAGAAACCCATTTCCATATCAGCCTTCAATGACTCTGGAGCAGACACAGAATTTATTGATCATATGTTTTCCTAGTCTTTAGGCACTGAAGTGGTTCAGTCAGCTAGAACCCATAAAATCCTTGCTCTTGACAGGCACTCATTGCATGATAACAATCTGGAAACCATGCCTGTCACACTTGTGCTTGGTGGTAACCACCATGAATGAATAAAGTTCATTATGATTAACTCTCCTCAACTCCCTGTCGTTTTGGGTGATACTTGGCTATGTAAACACAAAAGATTATGGGTTGTTCTGAGGAGTGTTTATCCTATCTGTTTGATGCCATTTCACTTACTGTCAACCATTGTAACTCTGAAGAGACTTATCCCGATCTCTCTTAAGTTTCCTTCTGACTACCATGATGTTAAGAAGGTGTTTAATAAAGCCAAGACCACTTTGATCTTATCCAGGGAGTTACTGTGTTCACCAAACTGGACCTGAGGAATGCTTACCACTTGGTCCGCATCAGAGAGGGAGAGGAGTAGAAGATGGCTTTCAACACCCCCACTGGTCATTACGAGTACTTGGTCATGCCATTTGGACTTACTGGACTTTGGCTCCTGTTGTTTTTCAAGCCTTGGTCAATGATGTATTAAGATACATGGTTAACCAAGTTGTCTTTGTGTATCTTGATGACATACTTATTTTCTTAAAGAACATTAACTCTCATAAAAAGCATATCAGGTCTGTGCTTTTGAGGCTTTTACAAAACAACCTATTTCTAAAAGCAGAAAAGTGAGTTTCACTAGTCGACCACATCCTTTGTTGGGTTTTGTCATTTCTACCAATCAAATTACCATGGATTCTAACAAAGTTACTGCAGTTCTGGACTGGCTTCACCTAAAGACAGAAAACAATTGCAAAGGTTTTTTGGGTTTGCCAATTTTTACAGAAAGTTCATTAAGAATTATAGTCTCAAACTTCTGCTCCCCTTCACTCACTCACTTCAACTAAATCAAAATTTCTATGGAACGAACAAGCCAAACATGCATTTGTCACTCTTAAGAGACTGTTTTCTTCTGCTCCCATCTTGCACTCCCCTGATCCTGAGAAACAGTTCGTTGTTGAGATGGATGCATCTAGCCCAGACGTTGGGGCAGTTCTCAACCAATGCGGTGCCGATGGAAGAATACACCGATGTGCTTTCTTTTCCAGGAGTTTCTGCAGAACGCAACTATGATGTGGGCGAATGAGAACTTCTGGCTGTAAAACAAGCCCCTGAGGAGTGGAGACACTGGCTAGAGAGCGCCAAGGAGCTGTTTAAAGTGTGGACTGATCACAAGAATCTGGAGTATCTAAAGACTGCCAAAAGACTCAACCCAAGACAAGCCAGGTGGGTCCCCTTCTTTTGAAGTTTCAGTTTGACATGGTCCTACAGACCTGGTGCCAAAAGCACCAAGTCTGATGCCCTGTCATGGATTTCAGAGAGTAACAAGGACTATGAACCCAAATGAGAGGTAGAATTCATGTTACCTGATATTGTACGCCTGTCCATCACTCAGCTAGAGGCTGAGATCAGGCAGGCTAACTGCTCACAGCCACCCCCTCCTGACTGCCCTAATAACAGTGTTTTAGTACCGCCTAATCAAGTTCAAAAAGTCTTGGAACTACTTTGTATGTCACAGTTCACACGTTTTGCCATCCTGGCATACCAAAAACTTCAAACATTGTTAAATCCCAGTTATGGTAGAAGGGCCTTGTGAAGGATGTTAAGGAGTACATCACCTCCTGCCACCATTGCAGCCAGGCCAAGTCTTCTGGATTCCTTGCCTTGCCCTGCCCTTGCCTGTTCTGGACTCTGAAATCTGACTATGGTACCGACCCCACTTATGATTATCTCAACTACGCCCTTTAGATCATCCTCTGGATTTGGATTCTGCTCTCTGACGAACGGTACTCGAACCAAGTCTGCCTCTCTGGATTTCACCCCTGGACAACCCCAAAATCAGTTCTCTGCTTTGCCACAATTTGCTACAGCCCTTGACATCACATCATCCTCTGTAAACTACAAAAGGATTACTCCTTGTTCTTGACTGTGAAGGTTAGTGACTCTCATATTTATAATTATTATTCCCAGAACCTTCCCAGTCCAACTAAGATCACTAATTCATATATCTCTGTAGATCAGACCTGTGCCCGGAACCAGACCTCCACCAGTGGCGATTTAATAATAAATCTTTTAAACAATTCCTGGACTGTTGTGTTGTGCACAAATCCAAAACCACAATCTTGTCCGTTTCTGTGCTATGGTGAGCTCTAAACCCTGACTGAAACCCCTCAGGTTATTTCGGTTCAGATGTTCACACAACTGACCAGAAACAATTTATCTAGAATTTTTTAGATGAATGTTAGATTAGATATAGGTCTATAATTGGCCAGAATTCCTGAATCAGGATTAGGTTTCTTAAGTAAAGGTTTAATTACAGCAACCTTAAAGTGCAATGACACATAACCATTCATTAGAGACAAATGACGCAGTTCCAAAATGGGGATATTAATTAGGAGAAATACCTCTTTAAACAGTTGGGTTGGGATGGGATCTAGTAGACATGTTGATGGTTTGGATGAAGCCTTTATTTTTGACAATTCAGAGCTCAACAGGACAAAAACAGTCCAAACATATCAAGTTCTAGTGACATTTCTAAAGCTGCCTCATCTGACAGGAAATCATGTCCCACGAGTCTGGTATAAACTGGGAGAACATGTAAACTCCTAAGAAGAAAGGTCCCAGCAAGGAGTCAAACCCAGGACCTTATTGCTGCACTGCAACCAAAAGTAAACATTTAAATTAAACATTTAATAGAGAAGACTTGTTGTCGTCTTAATTCTCTTTTTCTTTTTGAACGCCACACAGGGGGTGAGACGGATTTAGGAGAGGTTAAACCCTCCCCCACATCTCAGCCTGTAAACACAACTGAGGCTTTCCGTAGAATCTGCGTGGAGGACCTACAGTCGGCCCCCGGGGCCTCCCAGTCCCCCACCCTCCCCCTCCGAGGGGACTGAGCTCCGGCTTGTTTTTCCTGCTGTCGCCTCCTCCTCCTCTCCTCTCGCTGTGTCTGTGCGTCACAGCGAGGTCATGGCCAGACTCCAACAATGGCTCCGGTTTCTTGAGGTGCGTGCGCGCAAACACGCGCTCACACATAAAAGGCCGACACCAGGAGCACACAAACACAGATCTGACAAATGATAGGGTGGCGAGGCGAGCTAATAGCAGGCAGAGCGCCTGCCGACATGCCCGTGGGCCACGGGTGTTAAATTGTATCCAATTACGATGCATGCGACGTTATTGGGAAGAGGGGGGGGGGGGGCATTTCAGGGGATCTTTATAGACAGGATTGAAGGGTTTAGAGGCTGTGGAAGAGCTATGCAAAGGTAAAAATCACTTTTTTTTTCTTCTTGGGAGGACGTGGCGCAGATATTCCATTAATCAAAATCCTGTTAGCCGTATGTGGAGACACTCAGGGGCCAGCAATGTCCCACTCATAATTAATGTCCATTATTTAAGCAGCCAGTTCAGGTCTAAAGATGTCTTTCACATATGCACGCAGAAGTCAGGAGTGAGGAATAGCATCGGGAAAATGAAATAAACACGCCCAGCCTCAGCTTTCTTATGAAACGTCATTGCCACTTGTTTATTTGATTGAGTGTGGCTGTCAAAAATAGACACAGCAACCGTGCCAAAAGAGAGATGTGGTGCAAATCTGGTGACATTTCACCCCACATATAATGAAACCCTGATAAGAATGTTGGCTATGGATGAATTTAAAGTGACTATTTTCCTGCTAATTGTACATCAGTTAGGCAAACACCTTCTTAACAAAGTGTGAGTGTGTGTGTGTGTGTAAACAGGTTCAACTAATACTCAAGTTCTTCATAAGGCTACGAGCATTAAAAAACAGCACACAATGAGTCTGAGCCAAAACGTAGTTTCTTTACATTTCAGTCAGAGGCACGCACAAAAAAATAGAGCAATCAAACACACATTTATCTGTTATAAATACAACATTACAAAAGTAGCATTTTATAAAAAAAAAAAAAAAACAACTATCAAGAAAATACTTGTGCAGAAGTTGCCACATTAGAGCAAAGAGACACTTAATACTGTCTGAGGAGAAAGACTCTGGGTTTTGGGACTTGTTTTTCCTCGACTGACTCGTCTTGACTGTTTTCTAAAAGCCCCCCCCCCCCCCTTTTTTTTTGTGTGTGTGTTTTTCGACTGTACACCCACGTTCTCCCTATTGGCAAGAAAATTACGTGGTACCAGGATCAATCTAATGACAGAGCCGGATGCTGACACGCAGGGTGAAAAGTCTGCTTTTCAACTCATCTCCTGCGGAGAAGTGAAAAGGTGATTGCTGCGAGTGCTTAAGAAACACCTTGTTATGATTGCCTTTCAGTGGTGCCTAACGTTTTCTTTTTCTTCTTTCCTTTGTCCGGGCATGCTAAAAAGCAGCAGAACGCAGAGAAGCAACTCTTTTCAGGACCAGTAAATGCCTTTAACATTGCAGCGCTCGGATAGTGTTGCAGAGAGCTGGTGCTCTGCTCTGTATGTGCGGTGGGTGTCTTAAGGATATTAAATAGTAAAGGATGGGGATTAATAATGGAACCTGACAGCTCATCTCCGGCTTCTATCTGCCTGACTGTCCCCACAATCTTCTCTTCCCTTCCCTTCCTACCTCTTTTTTCCTCCCTCAGTTTCTAATCTGCTGCGTTTCTCTCTGGCCGTGACCCTCCTTTGTGCTTCTTCCCTCCAGCTCTTTTGTCTCCCTCGTTCCCTCTCAGGGGCCTCGGTCTTTCAGGGTCATGTTAGGAGAGTAGAAGAGCACGTTGGTGTCATCGTCCTCGTCATCGCTCGGGTCGATTAGGTCCGCTTGTGTGTAGCGCACTGCCCCGGGGTAGTACTCTCCGATTTGCGTTCGGTCACAGAGCCGTGACTGCAGAGCCAGCTAAAACACAGAAACAAACACACGTAGGTTTGAATTAGTGTTTGCTCGTTGCTTTTGTTTAGGTGGAAAACTTTCACAAAAGCATTTTTCATCTCTTTTTTATTGACCCTCTGCAGTACAGTTGGTTAAAAAAAAAGTTAAAACTCCCTATTTACAAACACCAATAGATGCAAGTTATGTCCAGTTAACTTGGCCCTGACGTCACGTGCATCGCAGAATGGTAGCACTGACGGGAGCTCCGCTTCGACTCAAACTTTTTTTTATTCTTGTTTTTATTTTCAACAACCATGGTACAGGTATGACCGTGACACACTTGTGAAGTTTTGTGTGTTGCTGCCTTGCCATTATACCATCATGCCATCGTGCCATAATGCCATCGTGGTTCAGTTCCCAGCCCTCCTCCAGCCTCGGGCCTAGGCTCTAAGCCTGTCATGGTGGCTGTCTTCATGATCCTCCATCTGCCTGCACAGACTGAACTCTACGGACCTGTTCTCTGTCTGCTGGACCCTGTTCTGGAGGACGGTCTGTGAGGGCAGCTGCTGTGGTCGTTATTATTATCAAACTGCTAGCAGGGTCTGCTAATGTTGCTAACGCTGCTAACGCTGCTAACGTTAGCCTCCATCTGCCTGCACGGACCAAACTCTACAGACCAGATTGGCTCCGCAGGGAAAACCTTGGATGTTCTCTGTCTAACGGACCCGGTTCTGGACTGCGGTCTGTGAGAGCAGCTGCTTTGGTCGTTATTATCATCAAACCGCTAGCAGGGTCTGCTAATGTTGCTAATGCTGCTAACGCTAGCCTCAATCTGCCTGCACGGACCAAACTCTATGGACC